TGCCACGGCTTCCAAGGATGGCACCATCTACCTTATGGGTGGACTGGTGGGCGGCGCGACGGTCAAGGGTGATCTGTGGCTGACAGAAATGGGCAACGGCAGCATGGCCTGCTATCCCATCTCCACCACGGGAGACGGCCCTGGTCCCCGTGTCGGTCACGCCAGTTTGCTCGTTGGCAATGCTTTCATCGTCTTTGGAGGAGACACCAAACTGGCTGACAACGATGACCTGGACGATACCCTGTATCTCCTCAACACATGTGCGTAGAGCCTGGAATGCCCTATACCTCCGACTAACGTGTCGCAGCTACAAAACACTGGTCGCGCGCACTACCACAAGGCCCCCGTCCCACCGGTCGCTACGGACACACCCTAAACATCCTCGGCTCCAAGATATACATTTTCGGCGGACAGGTTGAGGGCTTCTTCTTCAACGATCTAGTAGCGTTCGACCTGAATTCATTGCAATCTTCGGCCAGCCGATGGGAAGTGTTACTACCAAACACCAAGGAACAGGCCTCTCCACAGGGCAGATCCCCACCAGCCCGCACCAATCACTCGGTGGTGACTTGGAACGACAAGCTCTATCTGTACGTATCCCAATTCCTTGCCTTGTTCGAACTTTGATTGACTGATTGTTTTCAGGTTCGGTGGCACAGACGGCATCACCTGGTTCAACGATGTCTGGACCTATGAGCCACGTTCCAACGCGTGGACGGAGCTCGACTGCATTGGTTACATTCCCGTAGCCCGCGAAGGCCATTCTGCCGCCCTCGTAAACGACACCATGTACATCTTTGGCGGGCGCACCCAGGAAGGCGTTGATTTGGGCGACCTTGCCGCATTCCGGATTTCCTCCCGCCGCTGGTACATGTTCCAAAACATGGGCCACTCCCCGTCAGCCCGATCAGGACATAGCATGACCGCATTTGGAAAGCACATCGTCGTTTTGGCTGGCGAGCCCAGCTCTTCAGTCAGTGACAGGAACGAGCTCAGCCTTAGTTACATACTGGACACATCCAAGATAAGGTATCCGCCCAATGAAAGTGCTCCTCCACCACAACCGCAGAACACCCAGCGGAAGATGAGTGGTGGTGAGAGAAGCAATGTTCCTCCCGCTAAAGTCGGCTCCCCTCCAACGCGCGAGAGCATGATGTCCGGCCCCCAAATGACAAGAGCCCCAGAGAATATGGGCAACGGCATTAGCCCAGGATCACGGCTGCCTCGTGCAGCTAATCAGGGGCCCCCAGGCCCTCCGCCACTTCAGCAGCCTCCGCAACCCCGTGAGAATGGCGTTGTCATACAGGGTGCCGCGAAGCCCAGGAGCAAAACTCCCACCAAAAACGAACGCGGATACGGCCCACCTATCGATACAGGCGCTGTATCCGCCGTGGACAGAGACAACATGTCACCCATGACCCGCGACAGCCCGTCTACGAATGACATGCAAAGGAAGGCTTCGGATGCTGTAAGCCAACGTACCCCGAAGGAGTCTATGGACACTATGCGCACCGCTAGCACCACCGTTTCACGTAACACGTCCAAGTCTCACCGTGCGCAAGCTTCTCAAGATAGCACAGACCAGGCAACGAGGCAGTCTTTCGAAACACAGCAGCATCGCGGCTTTGTCCGTGACGCTGATCAATTACCCAGCGAAGGCCTGAAGAACGCATCGCTCGCCAACGACCAGAGAAATGCTGACCTGGTCAGAGAACTTGAGCACGTCAAGAGTCGCAACGCATGGTACGCCTCCGAGCTTGCACTTGCCCGTCGAGCAGGTTACAGTTCGGGCAACTCCACAAGTCCTGTATTTGATGAACGATCGGCCGACGCGTTTCGGGATGAAGACAGACCTTTGCTGGAGGCGCTTCTTAAGATGAAGACCGAGCTTGAACGAGTGCAAACGTCAATCAAAGCCCAAGGCGACGATGCTGCAAAGAGGATCGCTGAAGTGGAGAGGCAGCGGGATGCAGCCGTCAGCGAAGCCATATACGCAAAGACTAAGTTAGCGGCTCATGGAGGCGGTAGTCAGAACGGAACCCCACAGCCAGATGGAGCTCGAAGCACAAGTACACCTGATGCCGATCGCCTCCAGGACATCAGTCGTCGATTAGCTACATCCTTGGCTGCTCAGGGCGACCTGGCTACCAAGGTGGAGCATTTGACTCGTCAGATTGACGCTGAAAAGAAGGCCAAGCAGCTAGCAGAGGAAACCGCGGAAGCTGCACAGAAACGCGTACAAGAACTGGACTCGACCCGACAAAAGGCCACGGCTGAATCAGAGAGTTTACGCGCCGAGTTGCACGAAGCTGAGCGTATCGCAAGAGAAGTTTCCACTAGCGCCGCAGAAGCGGAATCGGCATCAAAGCTGCTAGCCATCGACAAGCAAGAGCTGAGCGCCAGGGTTGCTAAGGTGTCCGAAGAATCGCAAACTCAGTCTTCCGTCATCCAATCTCTGCGCGATGCGGTTTTTGCATCTACAGAGAAGTCAACATTGTTGGAAAAGAAACTGAACGAGGAGCGGACGCAAAGCGAGAACCTGCGCCAGAAGTTGAGCCAGCTTCGTAGCGAATACGAGGCACGCGTTCTGGAACTGGAGACTACGACACAGAAGCTTCGCGATGCGGAGGAGCTAGCGGAGAGCCATGCAGAAGAGGCACGCCTTCATCGAGCCACTGTTTTCTCTGGTCTGCAAACGATGACGGAACGTTCCGAGCACGATGGCGCAAATGTCGATGAGCGCGTCGTGGTGCTGCAACAGCAAGTCGAAGCTGCAAACACCATGGCCCGCAAGAACCAGACAGCAGCTGATCAAGCGTCGGAGAAGCTTCGACGAGCAGAAGAACGAATCGCCGGTCTTGAGGCCTATCAAGAGCAATCTAGTCGTGAGGGACTGACCATCCGTAAACAATTACAACAGGCTATGCGAGATGTACAGCTCTCCGAAGCTGAACGTACCGAGCTTCGCCAACAACACGAACGTCTGCGTCTTGAGAGCAATGCGTTTGAAGTCCAGCTCAAGACTCTCCGCAATCTTCTTGATGAAAGAGGTGTGAACCCTGTCGACACGCGACGCTCGAGGGTACTAGACAGTCCAAACTCAAGATTTGGCACACCGGAGTTCAACCGCGTTCGCGAGCTGGAACAACAGGTGGATTCTATGACCAAAGCACATGAGGAGTTGCGTTCCATGTTCGAGGAGCGTGAGCATGAGGTCAGTAAAGAATGGGAGGAGAAGCTACAGGCGCTTCACAACGACCACCAAGCTGCCGTCAAGTACCTCCGTGGTACAGAGAAGATGCTCTCGAAGATGAAACAGGAGCTTGATCGTTACAAGAGCGCGAACCTGAAGCTCGAGGAAGAACTCACTCAAGCGAGACAAGACAAGCGTAGCCCTGCTGACGAAGCTAATCACGCCGAATTGGACGCAGAACGCACGGCACTCCGCTCGGAGTTGGACAAGTCGCGGGAGAACATGGAAGCTACCGTTTCGCGTTTCGAGACCCAGTTGTCCAAACTGCAGTCCGACCTGGCTTCCGCTCGCGCTGATGCCGAGACGGCAACGAATGCCACGAAGCAGGCCGAGCATCAGGCGGCTCAGTTCCAGGCAGACCTCGAATCGCTTCGCCGACAGTATGCACAGACAGAAGAGCGTGCACGCGAAGCTGAGAGCCGCGTCCAAATGTTCCTCGATCAGTTTGAGACATCGGTCGATAACTACCGCCGCCAATCCCAGGTTCCGGCTGAGAACGCCCACCCTGAACACAGTCGCCACCGGGCACACGATAGCGTTGCATCGGCCGAGTCTCTGTACAGCCACAACGATGGCTCCAGCACGCCAGAAGCCATACCCCGCCCTTCATCTTCTGCTACACGAAACTCCATGGCCCTTGACAATCTTGCTTCTGAGTTAGACGCACTTAGGAGTCACTGGGAAACTACCAACAAAGCTTACCGATTGAGCGACCGTTTTGATTTTGAACGCATGCCTGAAAACGATAACACTGACGATGTGGATGAACTTTCGCAATGGAGGAAGAGGGTGGAGAGCGACGATGGTCCACAGACTGCCACAGGCAACCAGGACCCGAAATCTGTTCAGCCGGCTGCAACCATGATCTCGCCTACACAAGTCCACGGATCTTCGTAAAGGCACACACGAACCTTGAAACGCTTTGCTGCTACTTGATGGGACATGTGTTCAGCGATTTGTAAGGCGTAATTTGGTTTTTTACACTTTCTCCTTCTCATGGTACCATCGTGTTTCGATGGGATTTCGTTTTATACCATTTTTGCTATTGCAGGATCATTGACTCAAGACTCTTGAGCTTCTTGCGCCTTGGTCCACTTTCTGGCACTCAGTTGACGTTGCTCAGTTTGCGCATCAATGACGTAGCGGTTTGCAAATCATGTCATGGATGTCAGAGGAGTTTATTGATTCAGGAACAACCACTGGCAAATGTAGGATTTTGATATCTTAATGTATATGATTTGGTATTTCAAAAAGTGAGCCTTTGGCGCGCGCAAATTTGTTCATTCTATTGTTCGAGAAAGAGGCTGTTGACTCTTCACAAAAAAGTGAAGGTGAAGGGGACTCGACTAGCGCCCCGACCTCGTCGCTCTCCCACGTGGTACAATAGGAACGACGGGCTGTGATTCGCCAGTATTGACCAAACAATACGGTGATATGAGATTTACAAGCATCTTCGAGCTCCAGAATGGGACTTTGTACAGGAAAAAATCACGCACTATTGTCCGACGTCTCGACAATGGAGAAAACGATACACACGGGGCAGCCCACGGGTCTAGGGCTAGTATAACATCTCTACAGCTTCTGGTCCTTCTCCTCCTTGCAACCTACTTTCTACTCACCAACTTCTATCTTTGCTCGATTTCTTCTTCTTCTTTCAACTTGCCTTGCTTTTGACGCTGGTCGTCGTTACATTCTCACACTCAAACTTCTTTATCACTCGGTCTGGTACCGCTTCTTTCGAGCTACCATGTCTTCACCCCAAACCCCTCACTCTCCGGCTCGCTCAGAGGCTCTGGATTCAGGTGCTGGTGGACGCAACGTTTCGACTGTTCTTCCTGATGTGCCTGTCGACGGCAACCCCGAGCTACCTGCCTTCAGCCCCTTCGAGCCCATTGATTCCGGTCTTCATCAACAAGACGACGGCTTGGGTGATCTTTCTGGGTTCGAGTTCGACGCCGACTTTGCTCAACACCAAGATCTCGGTCACAACGAACAGGCCAACAACCACGCCAACGATCACGCTGCTATCCACGATGCCTTCGCTACACTTGCAGCAGCATCCACCAACAACCTCGACTTCGACATTGGAAACATGGACTTTGACCACGGCCTGTTCGACAGCAACGAGTTCACCGGCAACCAAGACAACACCAACTTCACTGACACCAACTCGGAGCTATCCCTACAGCATACACTTGCTTCGACTCAGACTCAAGATGGAGGCTGCGTATCTACCATCGAGGAGCACACTACACAAGCCTGCAACGAGAAGCCGCAGGTTCCAAAGTACAGCAGTTCCGATGCCGAGTTCAACTTTGAGGAGTTCTGTGCACGCTTTCACTCTGGAGAACTCAGTCCAGCTCAACAGGTTAAGGCTGTCGCCGCCTTGACCGCGAAGAAGAAGAACGCCGTATACCAGGATCTGATGCGCTCTTTTGGATTCCAACCGGCCAAGCCACGTGCTCCGGTCCCGGAGGGAGCTCTCACCGAGGACAACTACTTACCCATTCCATGGGAGCCCGAGGTAGATGAGGATGGATATGAGATTATCCCCATCGAATTCGACGCTCCTGAGCCTGATCCGTCGGATCCACAGCCCATCTATCCAGCATTTAGCGGCCGCTTCAAGACCGGCGCAGCCGCTAGAGCATACCGCAAGCGCGCCCGCGTTCCAAAGAAGGGTCCAGCACCAGATGTCGAGCGCGTCAAGAAGTATGGACGTAAGTCACAGCATATTCATTACTGTTCCAACATGAACTAATCAGATCTTTTTCTAGGCATGTACTGGGTACGCCGTATCTACGACTCCATCATCGACGTCTCCGACGTCCGCGACAGCGAGAAATCGACCAAGCTCGTTCGCTTTGAGAAACAGGCGGTGTACGATCCCGCGGACATCGAGGCTACGGCTCACCACGTCTTCGACGAGGCCGTCGCCGTACACACGCGAGGCTGGGTTCGCCCCAATGTCTACCACAAGAAGGTGGTTCGCGGTAAGCTCACCGATGTCAGCGAGGGGAGCGCGGAGAGGCGCTTGGCCCGTATCTGTTTCTTGTTGAAGCACGTGAAGGCGGCGTGCGATGACGCCCTGCGTGGAGGTCTTACTCTTGCGCTCTTGTGCGACAACCCCGAGGCGAGGGGCTCCACCAAACACTCGAACAACAGTGGCAACGGAAAGCGTGGAAAGAGGTTGAAGGTTGTGACGAAGATGTTGAAGGCTGGGTACACGGTTGAGACAGATGACGAGACGTCTGACGAAGAGCATGGCGAGAACGAAGAAGAGGAAGGCGAAGGCGAGGAGCGAAGTGGTGATGAGGTTTGATGGTGATGGTGGCGGCGATGGATGCCAGATCTTCACTGCTTTTCGATCCATTCTTTTTGAGCTCTCTGCCTGAGCGGCTGGTCCGCACAAGAGGCTTAGATGTCCGTTCGATATCAACTTCCATATCACGTAGCCTTTTTCAAGCTCAGTAGAACTTCACACCTCCAACGCTTTCTACTTCTTGTTTCGTGAACTTGGTACTCGGTGTCTTTTGTTGGTCCTTATCCAGTGTTTGAGCAGTCTCTTGGATAGCAGCATCTCTCTGTGCCTTCCTCCTCTTCTTACTTTGGAAAAGAGCCTCTTCGTCCTGGATATCTTTCAGAACTATGACATGTCAGCTTTCAGACTGTCTCTAAACTTTCCGCGTTCCAGGGTGTTGGCTTACCCTCAGCCCATTCTCTTTCGTCGGCCTCATTGCCCGTTCCCAAAACCGCTTCTACAGAGACGTCTTCCCCTCTCTGAACACGCTCAATGACCTCTTTTAATACCCCAATCTTCGCTTCGGCTTTGCGAAGGTTGTGTGTCCTCTCCTGCTTCAACCATAATATCTGGATAGCCTGGCTGCCAACGAGCAATCCAAGAATAATGTACGGGGTAGCGGGGTTCCATTCTTTGCGCCTAGGTCTCTCAGAGCGCGTCTTGAGTGGCGTTGGTATCAGAGAGGCCCAGAAGCTCGGCTGGACGATGCGCGGGAGGGACATGAAGCGTGGGTGCGACAGCGGGGGTGCGAACATGGCGAAAGCGCGCGCATTCGGACGCGTAGGCGCGAGTAGGGCGGTACGGTGGCCTACGGGCATGCGTAGCAGCTGGCGGAAGAGTCCGGACGGATCCATGGCTAGACGTTGTTTCGATAGGTGTGCTTAGGGCGCGTGGGATGGAACTTTTGGTCTCTCTACCATATTTTCGGATGCAGCGGCCCAAAGTAGTTAGTGCTGTTGGAGATACCGAGGTCCCGCCCGCATGCATCTCGCATCATTGACACTGCTCCATCGGCGTCATGTCTCTTTACATTCACGACGCTCGAATATGAGTAAATTTGCAAACAAAGAAGGCGCAAGAGGGGCCGCAGGAGGCGACGAAGAGGATCTGTCGCCATTTCAGAAAGTCTCGCAATGGTTTGAGGCCATACGCGACAGTGATTACGATGCATGTCACCTTGTTGAGTCCATCACGCTGCTCTAATGCTATATCTGTAGGGCCACGATGCTATCCTTGCGCGAGAACTCAAGGTCGAATCGGTTACCTATGCGCCGACAAGCAGCAATCCTCACGAGTCGCGCAACGTCATGAGCTTCACGGTACCTAAGCAGCTGTGCAACGCTGGTGGTATGCTTCATGGCGGAGCCGTGGCTTTGATCTTTGATATTACGACTTCCATGGCCATTACTCCTTGTATCCGCGAAGGGTTCTGGGACGGCGGACATGTCTCACGTAACTGTAAGTGCAACCTTGAAGCACCCAAGAGGTTGGAATATGGAATGTGCTAACTCAGCATAGTGAATACGACCTACCTTAGGCCTGCGGCTGAAGGCTCAAAGGTCTTTGTCGAGAGCTGGGTCGTCCATCTTGGGAAACGATTAGGGCAGACGAGGGGGGTGATGAGGCTGGGGTCTGAAGACGGCAAAGTCGGCTATACCTGTGAACATGGGAAAGTGAGCCTGGGTAGTAATCTGTAATGAATGCAAATGTCGGAGGCTGATAGAAAGAAAGACGGCGCAATGAAGCGACATGTTGTGAGGTGATGGGGATTGCGACTAGTGGACCCTGTATGTCATAGGCGTGTGCAGCCAGCCCCAGCGCCAATGCATAGCTGCCATGGCCATACCGTAGGCTTCCCACTGCACCTGCGACTTCCACTACCACGACACCCACACACACCCAATCATTGCGCCAATGGACCTTGGAGATGAAGGGAGCTCTCCGTGGGGAGGTACGTGTCTCTTGTCCTGCCGACGACACTGCGCACAGCTGACAAGCCTCCAGATGTGCCCTCACGGTCGAGCCCTGCGCCGAGTACTCACAAAGTAGAGCAGAACGACAGCCTGGACGCCGAATCTTCCACGACCTCGTCCAAGCCAGCGACCGATGCTGCCCCTACAGCCTCCGCCGCCCCGCGCTCGCCCGCAGGACGCGGCCCCCGGCGGCGACAGTATGGCCTGCAATCCACCAAGCTTGAGGCTGTTGATGACCCGCTGGGCCCTCTGGGTGCTCCCTCGCCGTCGACAGGCCCTGAGGTTGCTCCTCCAGCGCCGCCTCAGAAGGAAGCTGCTGCGTCGCGCACCACTCGGGCCGCCCCCGACGCCTCCACGCCTTCGCTGCGCGGCATGATGGATTCGGTCGACCTTGATGACGACGACGCGCAGCTACGCTCTTCCCAAGGAGCCAGAGTACCGCCTCCAGTACAGGCTCCTTCGAATGCCACACCCCAGCGCCAGACACAGCCAAGCGTCAGCGTCGAGCAGGCCGCGAAGCCGTCCTTTGCCATTTCGGTCGGCGACCCTCACAAAGTCGGTGACCTCACGAGCTCGCACACAGAATACTCTGTTACTACCAAGACGACGTCCAAGGGCTACCGCAACCCCGAATTTACCGTCTCGCGCCGCTACCGTGACTTCCTCTGGCTATACACACAACTGCACAACAACAACCCCGGAGTCATTATCCCTCCACCACCGGAGAAACAGGCCGTTGGGCGCTTCGAAGCCGATTTTGTTGAGTCGCGACGCTCCGCTCTGGAGCGTATGCTTAACAAGGCGGCTGCGCATCCAGTATTGCAACACGACAGTGACTTGAAGCTGTTCCTCGAAAGCGAAGCCTTCAACATGGACATCAAGAACAAGGAGCGCAAAGATCCCGGCATAAGCGAAAGCAAGAGCATGTTCGGCTCTATGCTCTCTGGCAGCAGTGGTAAATTCGTTGAACACGACGACGTACGTACAACGTTTCTCAAGATTAGTCACTATACTAACGGTACCATAGTGGTTCCACGACCGCAGAATCTACCTCGATGCTCTAGAAGCACAGCTCAAAGCTCTTCTCAAGGCTACTGACTCTGTAGTCACACAGCGGAAAGGTCTAGCTGAGGCGTGTGGCGACTTCTCGGCTTCTCTGCATTCTTTGTCTGCTGTCGAGTTATCGCCATCTCTGTCTGGTCCGCTTGATAGCCTATCCGATATCCAGATTCGCATTCGAGAGCTTTACGAGCGCCAAGCCCAACAAGACATCCTCACCATGGGCATCGTAATAGACGAGTACATTCGTTTGATAGGTTCTGTAAAGACCGCGTTCCAGCAGCGGCAGAAGGCCTACCATTCCTGGCATTCTGCCGAACAGGAGCTACAGAAGCGGAAAACCAATCAGGACAAACTCTTGAGGCAAGGCAGATCACAGCAAGACCGTCTGAACCAGCTTAGCGCCGATGTTGCAGATGCCGAACGCAAGGTCCACCAAGCAAGGCTGCTTTTCGATGATATGGGTCGTCTGATGCGCAGCGAGCTAGAGCGCTTTGAGAGAGAAAAGGTCGAAGACTTCAAGTCAGGCGTGGAAACCTTCTTAGAGAGTGCTGTAGAAGCACAAAAGGAAGTGAGTTCATCTACCACATCTGATATTCCGGCTTACTGACTGGCGTACTAGCTCATCGAGATTTGGGAGACTTTCCTGATGCAATTAGACACGGACGAAGGCGATACTTTCGTCCCTCCCGCGGGTATCGTCGCTTCGTCGAACGTGGATGAGGCACCAAGTAACGATCCTACCAATAACCAAGACTCAGAAAGACAGGAAGTGGGCAATGAAGGTGTGTCAGAGGACCAAGACTAAAAGGGTTACACGAGTCGTGAAGCCTTTGCCATGTGGCAAGTGTGGGCGCGCCGTTGTGAGGATTAGCGCTCATGTCGGGATAACAACCCCCGATTCCCGTATATACCGCGCGGGTTAGAGATACTCGGTGCTCGCTAGACAGTATGTCAAGTGAGCCGCATGTGGATACTGGATAATTCATAACCTGGGATGCGTGGAGCACCTCCCTGTTTGGATTTGCTAAGATCATTGCAAGTAATCTAGCTCATGCTGAACTGCCTGATGGCCAAACTATGTGTACCATCAGGCCTTGACTCTACACATTGACAATTCACACCATTGGCTTTGAAGTTGTTAGCTATGCGTTTCGTTACATCCTACATGACAGTGACTTGCGTCATCATAATCGGAGATGCGCGTCTATCCACTCCAGTTTTCGCTTCCTTCGGCGTGATGTTGCATGTCGGGCCAGGCGCGGGGTTGAGAACACTGTATCGTCAGCTGTTGGCCAAGTAGGCGCCGGCAAAAGAGGCGGTTCGCAGCCGGCTAATTCATTGCGGGCAGTCGCCGATATCTTCGATGAGAAGCACCGTATATAGCTGAGCTGTCATGCGAGGGTATCGCAAACAATACACATAACGTCTAACCCACCATCATGCCGCTAGTTCGTAATCCCATCCTTCCAGGTTTCAACGCGGACCCATCGGTCCTGCGTGTTGGAAATGACGGTAAGATATTGTTGTGTTCAACTTGAGAAAATGAGCTAACCAGAGTACCATAGTGAGTATTACAGTTTCTACAACTCCCCGATTTCGACTGCGGGACTACCATGAAAGCCACCGTTGGGATTTTTTGATGTGATCTAGGGATTGTTGAACCTCAGACCTTAGAAGTAGGCCATGGCACATACTAATTGTGTCAAACTAGTACTACATCGCAACATCCACTTTCGAGTGGTTTCCAGGAGTGCAAATACACCACTCCACGGATCTCGCCAACTGGGAGCTCGTGACACGCCCGCTGAGCAGGAAGAGTCAATTGGATATGCGCGGTGACCCCGATAGTTGCGGTACGTATTCGATCAGAATTGAATATATCCGCGCATTTCTGACAGACTTTAGGTGTATGGGCACCTTGTCTCACACATGACGGCAGCAAATTCTGGTTGGTGTACACAGACGTCAAACGCAAGGATGGTTCCTTCAAAGACACGCCCAACTACATCGTGACTGCCGATCGCATCGAGGGTCCGTGGTCTGACCCCATTTACATCAACCACTCAGGATTCGATCCTTCACTGTACCATGATGACGATGGCAAGAAGTACTTCATAAATATGCTGCAAGACCACCGAAGACGTAAGCAGTTCTTCGTTGTAAGTGAATGCCTTCCAGCGACAAGTCGTTGCAGCAGATACCGAGCTCATGGATCTACTTGTAGGGAATCAGAATGCAGGAATGGGATCCTGAAACGAAGAAACTTGTTGGCCCATGGAAGACTATCTTCCCCGGTAGCGACTTAGCTCTGGTAGAAGGCCCACATCTGTACAAGCGGAACGGGTGGTACTACTTGTTGACTGCTGAGGGCGGCACAGCATATGAACACGCCTGTACCTTGGCACGATCCCGCGATATCTGGGGCCCATACGAATTACACCCTCAAAAGCACATCATCACTTCCAAAGACGCGCCGCTAGCTTCGCTACAAAGGGCGGGCCATGGAGATATAGTCGACACTCCGGACGGCAAGACGTACATCGTGCATCTGGCTGGCCGCCCTACCACACAATTCCGTCGCTGTGTTCTTGGGCGTGAATGCGCTATTCAAGAGGCTTACTGGGACAAGGATGATTGGCTATATGTCAAGAATGGGCCCGTTCCATCTCTTCATGTTGAACTGCCGGCAGCGCGCGACGACACCGCATACTGGGCTGAACAGCGCTACGAATTCAACAGGAAAGATGGTCTCCACAAAGACTTCCAGTGGCTCCGCACCCCGGAGCCAGAGCGCATCTTCAACGTCAAAGATGGTGCTCTTCAACTCATTGGGCGCGAGGCCGTTGGATCCTGGTTCGAACAAGCCCTTGTTGCACGCCGTCAAACGCATTTCTCGTATGATGCCGAAACAGTCGTTAGCTTCAGCCCAGACGACGAACGCACATTCGCAGGCCTGACTGCCTACTACTGTCGCTTCAACTTCTTCTACTTGACCGTCACGGCCGACTCTGATGGTAAGCGCGAACTGCTTATCTTGAGCTCGGAAGCTTCGTGGCCGGACGGCAATTTGAAACTCCCGCTCGCGGAGCCGGTGTCACTCCCACAAGAGGGCAAGGTACGATTGGCGCTGAGCATTCGGGGTAGAAAACTCCAGTTTAGCTATGCGCTAGAGGGACAAAAGGATCTGACAGAGATTGGACCGGTCTATGATGCTTCGATCCTTAGTGATGAGTGTGGTGGTCATCAAGCGTGAGTTACTTTCCTCTATCAATTACATGATGCATGCTGACTTTGCAAACACAGACATGGAAGCTTCACAGGCGCATTTGTGGGTATGGCGGCATCCGATTGCAACGGCACAGAGAAGGTGGCGTCGTTTGACTACTTCGTGTACAGGCCGGCTCACCACGAAACGGACCGCTACGATATGTGATAAGACAGTATATATTCGTCGGCACCCCGGTGTAGCACAGCTCCATTCAATATCGAAGATGCCCTGCTTGACATGGTGCACGCACAAGTCCGTAATCTCATCAGAAATGTATGCCTACAGCTTGGCTGAGGCATCTATTGCACGAGGGCACGAATACGTGTTAGACAGGATGTGATAACCGGTAGTGTTGATACAAGATCGCGGCTTGAAGTGTTTCAGACCAGCATCCGTAGCGCCGGGTCTGCTCTAGTCTGAACTATCGGCAAACGGCGCCATGACTCGCGTAGAATTTGGTGTTACACCATGGTGAGATGGGGCTCCAAGTGGAGCCTTTTCAAAAGTACGGACTCGAGGTGTTGTACCAAGTCGGAGTTGTGCAGTCCAAGGCTCAAAAGCAATCTCAGGCTGATACGGCTGTCGTTCATCTGTCTGTGTCGCAGATCTCTGTGTCCTGACCCCTGCGTCTCAGCACCGTTTCATAGCATGACCGCGAATCCACGATGGACTACATAGAGGCTGAGTTGAACCTCAACTTATCGACAGATATCAAATTCATCTTAATTACTAAGAGATCTAGCTGAGCTCAGCTTCTTCCTTCGATTAATCCGGCCCGCCATACACGCAGACGTTGCGCAGTACCCTTCCGATCACAACCACGGCATAAGATGTGGGCACCAAACCGCGTAACTCCAGGAGCGAAACGCACACCATCTGTCCATTCTATCGCATCCTTTCAATCAGGCAGTCGCCCCGTTTCCATGAGTTCACCTCAAATGCAGAGACGACCGACGAATTACGAGTCAGACAACTACTCTGACCTGGGTTCAGAGGACGAACAGCCACAGCCACAGCAATACTCCCGTCGTCCACAAGACACCTCAATGTCAGCCATGGCGCAAATGCAACGACAACAGCAACAACCTAACCCCACAGCACCTTTGTTCTCTCAGAAGAAGGCAAACGATGTCGTACACGTAGTCAACGCGAACATACCGCAATATCAAGACCAGCGAACCTTTGTTGAGCGGCCAGTGGACGATGATGCAACATCACGATCTTCCACCCTGGACGGCAACGAGGAGGACGTCCCCTATCCGTCGAAGAAGTCATTGGCGCCTTCAGCCACGAAGATGAGCCTCACAGGCCAGGAGCCGGTGTCTCCAGCACCCGCACCGCATGTCCCTGGTCCTCTGGAGTCGCAACTTGCCGCCCTAATGTCCAAGCTTGTCTACATCGAACAATCGAATCCTGCCATATCAGTCAAGCCTGAAGAGTACGAGCAGACGATGGCGCGTCTGAAAGCGTTGGAAGAGGAGAAGAAGACATGGTGGAAGCGACACGACGCCATCTGGGCCCTTCGAGACGAAGATGTAGAGAACAACATTAAGATTCGTGTAAGTGTGAAGACGATGGATCAGCGCAAGACATTAACTAACATGTCGATACAGAGACTGCTAGCTAGCTGTCGACGCGAACTGGACGCGACCAAAAAGCTGCGCGATGAAGATCTCATCAACGTGCAGATTGTACGGAGCAAGCTTGCTGAAAAGACAAGAGAGGTGGAGCGATTGCATGCACAGACTGGACGTAGCAGTCCAAGCCGGGGACGTCCAGGTAGCTTTCTCGAAAGGCGCGACACAACCGACCTCTTTACTGCGGCCAAGGTGGCAGCTCTCGAGCAGCGAGCTCTCGAATTGGAAAAGCGAAACTCTGATCTTGTCGCGCAATTAGGGGCGCCGCGAGGTGGCAGCATCGACGATCTAAACCGATCGACCGCTCACCAAGCGTGGAAAGGGACCGTTGCTGATCTTGAATCCAAGATCAGGGCCAAAGACGCTGAGCTCGAGCGACTACGGTCTCAGGGTGCTTCGGGAGGAAGCGGGCAGATGGACTGGTACCGAATCGAAGCCCTGCTCGAGGAACATGCCACCTACCGCGAGAGCATCGGAGGCAAGCTGCAGGCTCTCCGGTCGGAGAAGGAGGGACTCATGAGGGATCTACACCGCAAGGAGAATGATTGCCAAGTGTTGGAACTCAAAGTGCAGACGCTACAGAGACGGGCGAACGTGGTGTGACGAGACGGTGTGTGACGAGACTGTGTAATGCTAGAAGCGAGTTGGCTACCCAATACCCCTGGTTATTTGATTGTTTTTATTTTCACCGTATCCACCCATTGAGGAGCCGGAAGATGTGAGATGGTGGCTGACGTGGCTGGTGAGGTCAATGCGCAACCGCTGCCTTGGCAGGTACCTGGCAAACATCGTCATATCCCGTCGGTTGTGGTCGAGCACGACCTGCTTTCGGCTTTCTCCACAGCGTACGGCACGCTGGATCCGGACAATGACATCGTTTGCGCAGCCTGGGGCAGAGCTTAAAGGCGATCATGTATCCCAACTTTCCTAGGTACGGCTCGCGCTCTAGCCTACATTGCCCACCATGCAGTCGGCCCTCGTTTCCATCCTCGCAATTGCTAATGCAGCCACGGCACAGGCCGCCTACTCGTTCGACCCTCTGCAGCATCTTGCCGGCATTGCCCCGTACTTCGAGGATCCGCGTCTCGACCCCAAGCCGCCACAGGGCTGCAACGTAACGCGCGCGTCGTACCTCATTCGCCATGCCGCCATCTACGCCAACGACTTTGACTACGAGGAGTACATCGAGCCCTTCACCGACAAGCTGAAGAACACGACGGCCGACTGGCGAAGCGCGGGACCCCTGTCGTTCCTGTCCAAATGGCAGACACCCATTAGCGACGAGGAGCTAGAGGATCTCACCTCGGTCGGAAGGCTGCAATCATACAAGCTGGGTGTCGATGTCCGTCTGCGTTACCCTACGTTCAAGGACCCTGAGCGCGTATGGACATCAACGGCCGAGAGGACCGAGCTCAGTGCATCTTCCTTCATCGACGGCCTTGTGGCTGAGAGCAACGGCACCGAGCGCGTTTCCGTCCGCGAGGATGCTGCTCGGGGTGCAGACTCCCTGACGCCATACAAGGGTTGCCCCAAGTACAGCTCCTCATACGGTAGCGAGCAGTCATCTGTACGTAAACTCACCAAGACAACATGACTCCAACTAACAATAATCCTCCAGGAATATCAAGAAACGTACACCAAGCCCATCGTCGAACGTTTGAATGCGTACGCCCCTGCCTTCAACTTCACCAAGTCGGACATCGTAGGCATGCAGCAGCTGTGCGGATACGAGACAGTCATTCGTGGCTCTTCCCCCTTCTGTTCGCTCGACCTCTTCTCCCAGGACGAGTGGCTCTCCTTCGAGTACATGAACGATATCATGTACTTCTACAACACCGGCTATGGAAGCCCCGAGCTGTCGGGTGCTCTTGGTCTTCCCTGGCTTAACGCTACTGCCGTCGAGTTGCTCGCGGACGAGGCCGACCAGGATCTCTACGTCTCCTTCACTCACCGCGAGTTGCCTCCTACCGTCGTAGTTGCTATGGGTCTGTTCAACAACTCCGCTAATACCGGAGTAAACAACCCAAACATCACAATGCCCCTCGACAGGCCCAACCATGCGAGAGCGTGGAGATCATCGAGGATCCTACCCTTCTTGTCCAACATTGCTGTTGAGAAGATGTCATGCGACAGTTACGGATTCGCCGCTGACGAGTACATCCGCGTCCTCGTCAACAAAGACCCGCAGCCGCTGGCTTGTGCTGATGGCCCTGGAGAGAGTTGCTCCAAGAGCGCGTTCCAGGATTTCGTTCAAGAGAGGGCCGACATGTTTGGCGGATTTACTGAGGAATGTCAGCCCGAGTACTCCAACTCTACCGATGTTCTCACTATATTTAATTAAGACGACGTTCTGAGTCGCTAATAATATAATGTTGTAATGTTCAATCATCTTCTATGCATGCTGCAAGGTGAATGCCGAGCGTCGCTAGTGGACCCCACGATCGCGGGCACTTGTTGAAGCGTCGACGATCATCGTGAGATGAACAACACTAATAATCAAACATCTCTGAATAATCAAGTGACAGGTGTTTGCGCATGCGCCAAGTCTTTGGACAATCTCTTGTCCGCGGGCTTCCGCTCTAAGCTGCGCGCGGATAGCATATGTGAGCTACATTCGCGTGGCTTATCGGCTTCAACATCGCATGCAGGGGGCGGAAAACCATCCAAGGAAAGATGCCGATTAGGATTCAGACAGCCAGAAGCTTTCACGTGCAGCGCAAATGTGCCGATGCAACTCAACAATTGCCCAAGGTGCAAACTAGCCCTATTGATTTTTGTAGACGTCATGACTGGCAGTCTTGGTGTGGACTGATCCAGGAATACCCGAGCGTGGCGCGCTACAACGCGTCTTCTTCACAACGCTCATCGCAATTGTGCCGCCTCTCACACATCAATCCGTCTACTAAATGGGGGAGCATATCGAGAACAAGGGCACGCGCCCTAGCGCGATCGTCGTCGGTGCTGGTGCCGGAGGTGTCGCTACCGCAGCGCGGCTCGCAGCGGCAGGCTACAAAGTTACTGTAGTCGAGAAGAACGATTTCTCTGGCGGAAGATGCAGTTTGATACATCGTCACGGATATGTAAGTCGACGAACGTGCGGCAGCATTGCACGACTCAACGCTAATCGCTACGCAGAGGTTCGACCAAGGTCCGAGCTTACTACTCCTACCTCGATTCTTCCATGAGACATTCGAGGATCTGGGCACCTCGCTCGATGCAGAGGGCGTCAAGCTGGTCAAATGCGAACCGAACTACAATGTTCATTTTCACGATGATACTACCTTCAAACTCTCCACCGACATCTCCATCATGAAGGCTGAAGTCGAGCGGTTTGAAGGCAAAGACGGGTTCGAGCGGTACCTTGCTTTCCTGCAAGAATCACATCGACATTATGAGGTGTCCATCATCCATGTGCTGAAGAAGAATTTCTACTCGTTGCTGAGCATGGTCCGTTTCGACTTCTTGTTGCATCTCTTCGAGCTGCATCCTTTTGAGAGCATCTATTACCGGGCGAGCAAGTACTTCTGGACAGAGAGGTTACGGAGAGTCTTCACGTTTGCAAGCATGTATATGGGCATGAGCCCGTTTGACGCTCCGGGAACGTATAGTCTGCTGCAATACACGGAGCTGGCGGAGGGTATCTGGTATCCTATTGGCGGCTTCCACAAAGTTAGTGTGCTCCATTGCAGAAAATCCTCTTTACTAACGTGATCAGGTGGTCGAGTCTCTTGTCAACGTAGGTGAGCGTTTGGGTGTCGAATTCAAGTTCAACAGCCCGATTCGCAATATACAGATATCCGACGACGGGAAACGTGCGACCGGCGTGGTTTTCGAAGATGAGAGCCAGGAGCCATTGACTGCTGATGTGGTTGTCTGCAACGCTGATCTGGCCTACGCATACAACAACCTTCTCCCTTCCACCTCGTTTGGACGAGCTCTCCTGAAACGTCAAGCGTCTTGCTCAAGTATATCGTTCTACTGGGCGCTGGACCGACAATTCCCCGAACTAAGCGCTCACAACATCTTCCTCGCGGAAGACTACAAAGAGAGCTTTGACAGCATCTTCAAGAAGCACCTGATTCCAGATCAACCCAGCTTTTACGTCAACGTCCCCTCCCGCGTCGATCCTTCCGCCGCGCCAGAGGGCTGTGATTCCATCGTTATCCTGGTCCCAGTCGGTCACTTGGAAGGCTCATCCGATGACCAACACAAGGGTTCGGGGCACACCAAAGGCCTGACCCAAGACTGGGACTCCATGGTAGCATCAGCCCGTGAAACCATCATCAGAACCATGGAAAAGCGACTCAAGATCTCGCTCGGTTCCCACATCATCGAAGAGACCATCAACACGCCCGTGACATGGAAATCCACCTTCAACCTCGACCGTGGCGCCATTCTCGGTCTCAGCCACTCCTTCTTCAACGTGCTCAGCTTCAGGCCCAAGACGAAGCATCGCAGCATCGAGGATCTGTACTTTGTCGGTGCGAGCACCCACCCCGGTACGGGTGTCCCCATTGTACTTGCTGGTGCCAAGTTGGTCACCGAACAGATCCTCCATGACCGCAATGAAATGAGCCGCATCCCTTGGCGCCCGCTGGACGCCAAGTCAGAGCCCAAGCCAGCTCCTGGTCCGTTGGATCGCACTCAGAACGGACCGTATCTTAGCTGGCTTGTTTGGATATTGTTGAGCATTGCCCTTGTGTTTGTGACGGTACCGGGTGTTTTGGTGTATCAGAAGGCTGGTAATGGGTTGCTGGGCGATTGGTAGTGTTGTCGTATGTAGTTTACTGTAGATACGGGCGTAGATAAGGGCTTTTAGTATATTAATGTTGTTGGTATACATTGTACTTGATTTAATGACCACTTTTTGTCATGGAATCCTGAGGGGTCACGATTGTGGGTGAATAGATATGAGCAACAAACGTTGGCTAGCCTGTTCATCAACGTATGCGCGGGACTTGGAGAAAGGGTTGCGGAAGTTATATAGTGAACGAATACGGCACGAATGGTGAAAATTAATGGTGGGTGCAGAATGCATACTGTAGGCGCAGAAACATGGGTTGTACAATCGAATCTGCCTGTGTTGGTGGTATACATCAGCGGAGGGTTGGGTGGTTAGAGTATCTGATGGTCGTGCACTAGCTGTGAACATGTCAAATGAATGTATGCAGAATCATTCGGAAACACGTTTGACAAGGTAAAATATTAATTAAGTATCTACCAAAGAGGGTATCTTGAAAGTACTCATGATTCGATCCGCGTTACAACTCCACACTCTCATCCCCGAAGGGATTGCAGATGCGAAGGTCATCCTAACATTACAACTACCACCATACCTCTGATCTCTCCTCCTTATCAGAGGTCACTGTTCACCCTAAACCCAGAGATTCGTTTAGACAGTGTTGTCGACGTGAGGAGCAGTGCCGTTGTACCCATCGGGGTGGGTGGCAGTTGCGCCTGAGGCAGCAGTCTCAGGCTTGATCTTCTTCTCCTGAACAACAGCGTCGGCATCACCGTAGTCGTGGATGGCAAGACCCAAACGGGCAGGGTCGATGTTCCTGTGGCCCCACAGAAGGAGGGCACCGAAGCAGGGCTTGGCTAGGAAGTCAAGGACACCGTAGAAGACGGCTTCACTGTCGGGAGCGATGAGGTTGCTGTTCTGGTGTAAGTGACTGCACAATTATGATCATTGTTGGGTATAACTTACGCGCCCTCGCAGACTCCCCACGCGACAGGGTACAAGATCCAGAGCAAAGTAGTCAAACTTCCGCACATCATGAAGGTCCTCTCAACATCACGGCCGAATGACTTGGCGTGGATGCGCGATTCCCATGCGAGCTGGTAGACGATGTAGAAGAGAGCGACGCAGCCGAAAACGAAGTAAGCCCACTTGTAACGGCTCTCTACGAGAGCACCGACGAGACCAGTGATGACCATGATCTCATCAACGACAACAACCCACATGATGGTAGGCCATGGCATGCCGGCAGTGAGGAGCAAGTCGATGAGCAGAAGAGGCGTAGTGATGAACCAGTCGATGTATCGGACGTAGTAGATCGAACGGTAGGTTCCTGCTACCTTGGGGTCGCTACGGGGGAATTCGACTGCGATGGGTGTGAAGCCCAAGTTGGCTCCCATGGTGACTATGAAAGTGAAGATCAGTACACGTCTCTCATATTGTAATGGGAAACGCTTGACTTACAGTAGGCGATGCATGCGACGAAGACTACGGAAGCAGTGATGTAGTGGAAAAGACGGTCGCGACGCGCCTTGCGGTATCCAAGACCGATGAAGATGAATCCAGAAAGACCCATGGCGGCGCAGATAGCGAAGTAGAAGTCCGATCCATGTGTGGTAATGGCAATGTCTGCCGTCGCACCATTGACGGTGTTGTCATTGAGGTTCAGCGCATTGTTCCTGCGAAAGAGATCCATTGCGAAAACAGTGGTAAAATGCCAAATGAATAGTATGGGCTGGAATGTACCAAGAGGACTGCTTAACGAAAACAAGAGGTAGCAGGTACTGGTTATATCTTGGACTACGCGCCCATGAGATCCAGAGATGCCATCATGACGACATACCTCGAGCGGATTGGAGCTTGATCATGCAGCATGTCAAAACCCTCAATCGACCAGGGGCCCAGACTAGGCCGGGACTTGTCACTCGAGAGCCAGTGACGGTGAGTGACGGCCAGTCAGAAGCATGCGCTGCGTTTAGCATTTCCAGTTTCTCTTGTCCAAATGGCTGATTTCAGTGACGGCTGCTCGGTGCAATAGCCATGTCATACTAGGATGGATCATCATCATCGACGCTAAAGATTCTGAGCATAGCGCCCGGCCTTTCCGTCTCACCACCTGAGCGAGCGCCACTAGGATTAAGCTTTATGACGTTGATCTATTGAGCTTACTTCGACATCGACTTGCATCTGTTGCATAACGCCAGCCGAGTCAACTTAACGCTGGCGTTGAGTTGGCTCAAGGCTAGTTTGTGTTTCTTATCGTGTGTTGAGAGTGTTTTATGATGTTGACACAGAGTTTCGTTGTGAGATCGTGAGAAGGGCCTTTTGGATGCGCATCATGAGGGGAGAATGCGCATCGTGAGGGGAAGAAATGCATGGCAGCGTATCATTGCCTTAACGGCAATATCATGGTGGTGTGATGTTCTTGTCACTCACTGCCCAGGCAGGTATCGTTCCTATCGGGTGGTTTCCAAGGTTTACGTCAGTGCGGGAGTCGAGTAGATCAACACCTACGGCAGGGATCGGCGCAACGAAGCTTTCTGTACAAAGCGGGGCAAATCTAGATGCCGCATTGACTAGGGCAACGTCGCACATCACCAGGA